TAACCAGCTACTTTTAGGACAATTATAACTGTAAGAAGAAGAAGCCATTAAACATTATAATTTTTAAAGATAGTTACACCCCTTAGCCCATAATTTTCTTAAACATTTTTAGCGCAATTTCCATTCTGGAGAATTGCGTTTATTAACCCGTCATTTCTGGATGGATGGATGAATGGATGAATGTGTGTCCGCAGCTTTAAGTCGTATCTCCTCCTCAACGAAGCAATATCGATGACTAGTTCCAAAAGCAATTATGTTAAGCAAGTTACGAGGATGAACATAGGCCATAAAAATTCCGGGTTTCTTTCATGGATTTCCCGGAAAAGCCAAAAAACCTCGAAATAAAGCAGTTTTTGGCCCATATCTCGGCAACCAGACCACTTAGCGACTTGAAACATGTACCAATCGATTCCTGCTATAATTTAAAAAAATATTGCCGAAGAAAGTTTTCAAAAATATCCTTTCGTTCGGTCACAACAAATTTTTTGAATTAATTAAAATTTGGACCGAATTAGTAGGCATTTTATGCAACCACACCACACGCGTCATCACGTTCAATAGCTGCGCCATCACGTTCAATGGCTGCGACATCACGTTCAATGGCTGCGACATCACGTTCGGTAGCTGGGCGCGCAATGGTTTTTAGTCATATACTCTATTGTAAATAAAACATGTAAAAACGTTTTAATAACTAACCAATGGTTTCACTAACCCTGCTCTTGATTTACGCTACGACAGAGCTATTTTTAGATAACATAAGGAAATTGCGCTAAAATTGTCACTAGACTTTTTTTAATTACTTGTTTTTTTAATGATTGTTAATAATATATTTAAATGACTTTTGGTTGATGATTGATACTGTAGTGGTCAAAGGAAAAAACTAAATTCAAATTGTCATGAAATTTTTTTGTAGTTTTGAGTTTCATTTTAATCTTTCATAATCTTACTTTCAATGTAACATTGTTATGATTATCGCAACTTATTTCTTTCATTACTGGCTTAAATTTTTTTTTAGAGATTATAAAATTCCTCTGGAGTTGGTCAGTGTGCAGAAAATATAAGCCGCACGGTTGTCAGAAACCACTGGCTCTCTCTATAGTAATACATCGTCACAAAAGTTTGAACTATTTCTTAAACCACTCCACACTCGAAAATTGTATCTCATCCCTCTTACCCAATTTTACGCTTGAGAATAATGACGTTTTTTCTTTGTGTATTGTCGTATCTCATTTTTAGTGTAATGCCAAATCTCACCTTAGTGTAATGTCATATCTCACCTTTTTGTAATGTTATATCTCATTATAGTATACAATCATATCTCACGTTTATGTAATGTCATATCTCACATGTGTGTAACTCCAAATCTCACCTTTTTGTAATGTCATAACTCATTACACTGTAATATCATATTTCACTTTTGTGTAATGTCATATCTCACCATATCTCACCTTTAAGTAAATTCAATTCTCACCTTTGTGTAATGTCATGTTCATTATAGTGTAATATTATACCTCACTTTTGTGAAATGTCATATTTCACCTTGTGTAGTCATATCTCATAATTGTGATATGTCATATCTCATTATTGTATAATGCTATATATAATCATAGTGTAATCTCATGTCATCTTTGTGTAATGTCATATCTCACCTTTGTGTAGTCATACCTCCTAATTGTATTATGTAATTCCACACCATTGTGTAATATCATATCTCATTATTATGTACTGTTATATCTTACTTTTGTGTAGTTTTTTCTCACCTATGAGTAATGTCTTACCTTTGTATAATGGCAAGTCTCACCTTTTCATAAGAACGTATGTCACCTTTGTGTAGAGGGTACATTTTGATACTCTGATTCCATAACCATAATATAAAACAAGAAAAACGCATTGAACAGTTTGAACTAAATTTTATTTAACCATTTTCTTCTATAAAAAAAATTATACACAACATTACTTTATGTACACATTTCAAGGACACACCCGCTTAGACTATGTACGCATATTAAGGGATCGGGGCACTCTTTATATAAAACGATGTAGCTGCTAACACATTTCTTTTGTTCTATTGCTATATTGTTATTGTTTAGCGCAATTTCATACACCTGAATTAAATAGCTACTAAATGTTTTTAGGTGCTTAGTTTATGCTTTTACCTTTTTTTTTAAATTAAGTATTTCTTTTTTAAACTTTGAGCGGCCTAATCATTTACTACAGTAACTAAATATAATTACTTACTTTCAATAAATTTCCTTGTACACATATTTTAATACGTATTTATTTATGTATTACCTAACGGAAAACTAGAAACCTTCTTACTAAAATAGCTATACGAAAAGCGTAGTGTACAGACTGCTTTATAATAATAAATATGAGTATATCAAAGGGACATAAGTAACTTTTTGTCTACTATTTCATGTGTTGGATCCCTTACAAAATAAATGTCAAACTTAATTTAAATATATAAAACATTTGTCGTAGAACATACTACTTACATTTTATATATAAATTATGCTCATATATTTACAGTAAAGCGAATTAAATGGTTCGAACACAAGCAAGGCTATAAATAGAAACATTAATTCATGTTCAATATTAATTTCTGAAAGATTTTGCTAGGTTAAAAATTAATAATTTCCAACAATCTAAAATAATTTCCAGAAGAATTTGTTTTAAAATTTGTTGAAAATTTTGGAACTTTTAACAACTTTCTTTTAGACGCCACAAAATGAATTCTGAATAGAAAATATTTAGCTTAAGAATCAACCGTGAATGTTTAACATAATTAATTATATTACAAGTCAATAAAAGCTTTATAATATATAGTATAACAAAAACATGCATCATAACAATATTTTATATATATTAATCAGTGTATATAAACATAAATTTCAGCAAGATTATATAAATATATGTGCTCACTGTTCAGTCAGACTTACCAAACACACCTTAAGCATATTATTATGTTCAGTGTGTGTACACTAATTAAGATAACTTATTAGACACGTATGGCTATGTACAAGACAGACGCACACATCACAAGTGACTAGTATAATTAGATATCATACATTTTTTTTCGAAAATAAATTGAAATATGTTAGTTTTTTTAAAGGTAATTTGCATTGCATTTATAACATCAAACATATTTTGTTGGGTAGTCGATTTTAATTTCTGCATCAAAGTCTTTTGTTATTTTTTTTAACGATCATGCACCGAAGTTAAAATAATACACGTTTTTAAGGGTCAGCTGAATGTTCTATCAAGATTAAATCCTTCTCAGTAAATATGTTACTTTTAAACATTTACTTTTTTTTATCAATATCAATTTGTATTTTATCTAACAGAAAATAATGGTGCAGGTGATTTTTTTTGTTTATCGATCACATTTAAACAATAGTTGCATTTATAAACTTCCAAACTAAAATGTGAGTATAGCATTGGCTGCTATTTTTTCTATATGAAAAACCATTATATTTATGTAAAGTAGTTGAATATTGACATTTAAAAACCGATTTGAACAATCAACCCTACACGGAATTTGTTTTTAGTAACTGATTATGCAAGTTGTCATTTTGTAATATAGGGTTAGTGGGGAATGGGGAATGGGACGGGGGTGGGAGAGAGCAGTTTTTTTTAAACATAGGTTTGGTGTGGGAGAGGGAAGTTGAGGGTGGGGTATTAGGAAGCAGGTATTTTTTTTCAACATAGGTTTGTTAGGAAGTTCGATGGGTGTAGGGAGCAGGTCATATCCTTTTTTTAAACACATGCTTTGTTTTTCCAATGTAGTCTGGGTATCCTATTGTGGCTGAGTCACATCGATGCCACTGAATTTAAAGACTTATCTCATTTCCCAAAGCCCCCACTCCATGCTCAGAATCTACATAAACAAGTGTTTTTTTTTTTATCAAACACAATATCTCTATCTTATTTTCCTTTTATTCGCTTGAACTATGAACAAAATAACACAGCCATTTTAAATCATGTATACATGGAATACACCTACGGGCAGTTTCTAATAAAAGACCAAGCATTCCTGAACGGAATAACAGTAAAATATATTGCATAATTAACATCACATTTCAAATCATCTGCTATACGATCGGATGTAGGTACTAGGCAACAAATCACATCTCTCTATACTGCTCACATCTTATAGTGGCAAGAAAGATTAAATTATAAATAGAACAAACTTATTTTTGCAGAATATATTCTTTCGGATGAAAGAAGAATATGTCACTATTTTAAATTATATCACATGTGTTTTTTTTTTATTAAACTGTGTAATCAAAGACAGGCGCCAGACTGCTAGCCCGAAAGTCTTGAGTTCGAATCCGGACAGACCGTCCCTGAGTCCACCCAACTGTGATGGGTACCTAACTCACGTTAGTGAAAGTAAAGGCGGCTGGGTATAGTGATGACCACACTATCTCTTCATATGCCGAGGTCTCTAAAACAGATGAACTCTACTTCACCCGCCCCATATGTCTTAGACACGAACAGGAAAAAAGGTGATGATGATGAATCATAGACCAGACCTTCAAGTAGATACAGTACTAGCCGGCTGTTTTTCATCTAGTGTAATTAAGCACTCGAATACTTGGTAATCGTCTTAAAAGGCATGGAATGCTGAACGTTTACACCAATACACTCACAATTACATACAATTTCTTCACTTCTCTCTTCATCATTGATATACAAATCCAGAAAGTTATAAGGTAAACAGTTACCTTTTTTTTAAAAAAAAATCATCTACTTTTTTGTAAAAAAAACAAAAAAAAACAAAAAAAAAAAGAAAAAAAAACACTTTAAAAAAAAAATATCGTTTCTTTGTTAACGTAAAATCCGTTAAAGTAAAATCAGATTTTGATCGATCTTACAGCGGTTAAAATCTCCGGGCGTTTTGATATTTCTTTGTGGATCTGATTTTTAAAAATTCCGATTTTACAAATGTATCCATTGAATTTCATGCACAGATTTTTAAAAAACTCGTGTTTTGAATTTTTCTTAGGTATAAAATTTAGGTCAGTTTATAAAAACAGGTCAGTTCTTGACCTAGTTAGAGAAGGTCGGTTGAGATGAATAAAATGAGGTAACAGATGAGATAAAAGGTCGGTAACGCTGAGATAGGTGAGGTACTGTTGTGGGGGTCATCGTGGCTAGCTCTGACGTCAGTGTCTGTGGAGAAAATAGTGGGAAATACATGAGTACATTTCCGTTTAGGGGTACCAAATCCTCGGGTAATAGGGTCTTAGTTTAAAAGAGTTAAATCCAAACACAACGGCGTAATATATATATATATATATATATATATATATATCCACCAGCTAACCGTAGTCATAACTGTAACTTGATCATAATACATAATTCTAAACTTTATATAAACACATTAGTCCTAAAGACTTATTTCGAGATCTAACACTCAGTGTTTCTTCCAGACTTTTTTCTCCAAGGGGGGGGGGGGCATGTTGATATTTTCGGGGGGTGGGGGACGGACGGCGGACCACATTTTTACGGGGAGGGGGGGCGTCGGTAAAAGTCTATGTTTTCTATATAAATCTCATTTCGTTCGGAGGGGGGAGGGGCGGGGCGGCAGACTTTCTTCTTCGGGGGTGGTGGGGGGGGGTGAGTCCCACCGAAGAGATGCCTGGAAGAAACTCTGCTAGCACTAAGTATTTTTTATTAAACAAAAAAATAAATAAAAATAAAGCTAAAACGTTACTAAGAGCAAATTTAAAGATAACAATATAAGGGAAATGACTCTAGAGAGAAACAAAATAAAACTAATTGAAAATAAAATAAAAATTTGCATGACTGATCAAAAATTTGTAACATTAGTTGCATTGATAGAAGATTGGTCACTTAGCTTACACACACACACACACACACACACACACACATATATATATATATATATATATATATATATATATATATATATATATATATTTGGTATGTCCAATCACCTACCATGATACGGTTTATCACCATCAGACGGATGCCTAGACTTGCCGTCAGGCTCTGAGTTCTGCGTGACGTCAGTTCTGTTTTCTAAAGCCCGCGCCCTATGAGGAGGCTCACAGCAGATGGTTACACCGTCTGCTGTGAGGTAAAACAGAATCAATGCATCTGGTTTTCAATGTCAAGGTTACTCTCTATCTAGATTCTAGTCATAGTGGGACTCCGCGGAGAGAGTGTTAGAGAGCTAGACTGCTAACCCGAAATTTTTTTTAGTTCGAGTCCACCCCGCTAAGATTTGTACATAACCTACGTTAAGTAAAGGAAAGGTGTCTGGGCATAGTCTTGCCCACAATGTTCCCTTGTATGCCTAGATCATTGAAACACATTAACTCTACTTTATCCGCCCCATGCAAAATAATTAAGTAATGCAACTTAACCTTAAGGCTTAACTTAATGATTAAATGAACGGTGATTAAATAAAAGTCTTTCTGTGTTTTAAAAATGCGATTTTACATGAAGAACAAAGATTTACTTTTACTATGCCCAGCCGACCTGTATTTTTCTAAAGAGAGCTCAGGGACGGTCTACTGACTTGAACCCGGATTCGAGCTTAAGACTTATGGGCCAGCAGTCTAGCTCTCTACCGCTAGACCACTCCGTCCCTCTGTACCAATGTAGCTAGTAAGTTTTATTTCAATGCTTATATACACTAAAGTAACAGAAGCTTTTACATTTAACTTGTACGTGAATCCAATTTACTAATATATTAAACTAAATAAGACAGCATATCTTTTTATAAATCATGTTGGTTTACTTATTATTATTTTACACTCTTTACAACGCCTTTGTTTAATATCAACTTGTAAGAAGTCAACTTTTTCTGAGGTTCATATTAAAGTATTTGTTAACACTTTCCCCTTTCTTTCTCGATAAGTTCCAGATTAAGATAAAATCGAACGCCTTTACTATGTAAAGAATTTGTCTTTTTTCGAGCCCTTCTCGATGCCTCTGTTGACGACTAACCGGAAAGGTATACATGTCCCACGCATTATATTGTAATTAGTTATTGCCTAATTAACACTCACCTTCCTTGTTCCTAATGAGAGGTTGACAAGGCATGTGCTCACAAGGAGGTTCGCTACAACCCGCGTCAGATTTGGATATAATTCTTAGCTCACCCACCGCTGAAAACAAATATTTGGATATAATTCTTAGCTCACCCACCGCTGAAAACAAAGGCACCATATTTTATTTACTATAAAATATGTAGGATTTTCAAACATAAACGTATTGCTTTATTTTAAGCAGTGGTTCTTAAACGTTTTCGAGGTACCGAACCTCACCAGTTTCATATGCACATTCACCGAACCCTTTTTTTTATTGTTCTTTTGTCCGCACTCACAAAAACCGATCGTTAATTATATGAGTCGGGTGTGTGCTTTGACCTCCGCCGAACCCCTGAGACTGACTCACCGAACCCTTGGGGTTCGATCGAGCCCAGGTCGAGAACCATTAATTTAAAGCACATTATACTTCCCTTCCAGCTATAAAATTTCTTACTGAAAAATTACGTTTTAGTTTATTTTAATAATTTAAATTAATTCGAGTGACTTTGATACGGGACAGATGTCCACATACATCCCTAACCTACACAAATCTCTGCTACATGTATCTGTATCATTGATGCTGGGCACATGTCCACAAACATCCTTAAACTGCACAGATATCTGCAACAAGTTTATATGACCTTGATGCTAGGCACAAATGCCCAAACTTTCCTGAACTACAGACTTCTCTGCTAGAAGTGCCTGTGTCATACATGTTGGCACATGTTCCCAAACTTTCGCCAACTAAACAAATCTCTGGCACATGTACCTATGCCGTTGGCACTGGGACATAATTAAACTAATCTTTGGCACAATTACCTGTATCATTGATGCCGAGCACATGTCCCCAAACATTGATAAACTACACAAATCTCAGATGCAAGTTTATGTGACCTTGATTCAGTGAACAAATTGCCAAAACTACACAAATCTCTGCTATAAGTTCATGTGACCATGATGCTAGGCACATGTTCCCAAACATTCCCCAACTAAACGAATCCCTGGCACATGTACCTGTATCATTGATGCTGGGCACTAATTCGTCAAACATTCCCTCTGTTTCTATGAAACCAGGGTAACCACACCGGAAGTGTGTCCCAAACATTTGATTGGTGATCGCCACATCCACTGCGCGCATGCCCCAAATATGACATCCGTCTGTTTCTTTGATTATGTCCCTTTGGTTGTCCAGAAGCTGTATTTTAATTATAAAACATAATTAAACGTGTTAATTAATTATGATTTTAATTACATGTATATCTAATGCATATCGATACAATTTTTTTTTAACTAAAAGTCAGCTCTTCAATGTAAAATTTTTATGGCTCTGGATCAATAGGAAATATTTACTTTTCTCGAAGGAATAGTTGATTAATTCGTCCAAACTAGTTATCAGTATAATGTATTCGAGACCTTTCCAAAGCCGATTTAGATTAAAATAGTACCCATTAATTGGGGAAGTAAAGCGATTGTGGAAAAATAATTTTTTCAACCATAAATACAAGCAATTTCGTTCTTGTTACAGATCTTGGGATATTAGTACTGTTATATTTATAAAACAAACCAAAAATCAACCCAAAACTACATTACATTCCCAGAACCCCTTCAGCCACCCCTTCTAGCATGGTGTGTGTGGGGATGGGGGGTCGTGCATTAATTGTATAACAGTCCTAGTGGCAGAGGCGTAGCGGGGTAGGGGGGGGTGCGGATCGCACCGGGTGACACCATTTAGGGGGGTGACACCATTTAAGGGGGTGACACCAAGGCAAAAAATAGCAAAGTATATAGAGAAAAACTTGAGGGGGGGGGGGGGTTGCAAATCGAAAGTTTGAGAGTGGGGGTGAAAATAAAAATTTTGACGGGGGGGGGGTGCAAATCGAAAGTTTGAAAGTTTGTCCCCGGGAAGGGTCGCTACGCCTCCTTGGGGTGACACCATTAAGTGCCGCACCGGGTGACACCCGACCTCGCTACCTAGTGGTAAGGAGGACTAGGACTGTTATACAATTAATGCACGACCCCTCCTCCCTTCCCCCACACACCGCACTTACACACACTACTTTCCTTCTATACGTACAATAAATTGTATCGCACTCAAATAAATAAATTACAAAAAAAACAAACAAAAAAAACACGAACATTACCGAGAAATAATTGAATCCTGGAGGTTTGGTATACCAGACCAGAATTTTATCTGGCAACCCGATGTTGGCCCGACAGTGGAGGGTGATGCTGCAGTGTTCACGGTCGGGGATGTATTTGTTGACGATCTCGGGGGCCCCAGGCTCCGCTTTAAGGAGGGTGGGGGGGGGAGAGAATACAGGACGGTTTTTTTTTTTAAATAGCCGTTCATCAAGGAATGACCAGACACATCCATGCATATCATTAGCCTGATTAAGGGGGAGGGGGAGTGGAGGGGGCGTGTTTATTTTAACCTTCGGGAATGAACAGATGACCTTGATAAGAGTTAATGGCGAGAATTTGGGCTTTGAATACATGGATTCGTAATTGCTGACTGGACAGTTTTGGTTATTGATGTTGTCGTAAGCTTGAATAAATGATGCTTATATCTGCTTATGAACAAATTTTCTGGTGTGTGTTATTATGTTTATCTTTTTTTCTTGAATACAATGTGTAAACCTATTCTATACGATGAGTGCAACTCGATACTCATTAAAACAAGGCTTATTGCAAACAACAGGGTATGATGTTGCATATTATGAGAACACTTATTATGTGAAAATTTGTATTTCCTTTCCAAATGTATTGGTATGGTGTGGTCGGTGGTTAGAGAGCACCATTGCTAGCCGGTAAGTCTCGAGTTCGAATCCAGGACTCGAGACAAAAGGAGGTCCCTGAGTCCACCCAGGTACACGTCTCATGTTAGAGGAATTAAAGACGACTGGACATAGAAATGACCACACCATTCCGTTATAATCGAGTTTGGATCTCGGTTTAGACCTGTGGTTGAAGAACGTCCCTGAGTCCACCCAGCTTTAATGGATACCAGAATTACTTTGGGGAGGTATGTTGTTGGCTGGGCATAATACATACCACTCAGAAAAAAATGACTCAACTTTGTCTGTTATTTAGAACGTCAGGTCCGAAAGGGTGCTTTGATTTTATTTGATTCGTAACTTATTCGTTTACGTTTTATCCTGGTTAAGTGTCTATATCTAGTCGTAAATATATTGTGTTTATCTTGCCTAAAAATATACATTCATGTACCCAGATAAACTTTACTTTTACTAATATTACCCCGTCTTAATACGAGTTCAGATCTCGGTTTAGACCTGTGGTTGTAGGACGACCCTGAGTCCACCCAGCTAAAATGGATACCTGCATTACTTTGGGGAGGTATGTTGTTGGCTGGGCATACTACATACCACTCAGAAAATTTGACTTTGTCTATTTGGAACGCCTAGTCCGATAGGGTGTGTTGACTTGATTTTATTCGTAAAGTACTCGTTTACGTTTCACCCTGGTTAAGTTATTACATCTAGGCTTAAATATATTGTGCGTATCTTGCCAAAAACATACACTGATGTACCCAGAAAGATTGGGCATCACAAAAACTCACTGATTAAATGAACAAACATTTAGCTCAAATCTAGATGGCCCTTTTTATGATTTATCTACTACATTATGAGGTTAACATTATTGAATTTAAGCTAGTGATCAGACATGATCAGATAAAATAATATTACCCTAATTACCCCAGGGGACGGAGTGGTCTAGCGGTAGAGAGCTGGACTGCTAAACCGTAAGTCTTTAATGCGGGTTCAAGTCAGTAGACAGTCACTGAGCCCACCCAACTCTGATGGGTACCTAACTCCTGTTAGGGAAAGTAAAGGCGGCTGGGCATAGTGCTGACCACACTATCTCTTCATATGCCGAGGTCACAGAAACAAGTGAGCTCTACTTCCCTTTAGACCGTCAGGTTTGAAAAGGGAACTTTACTTTACTAATATTACCACGTCTTTACGCGAGTTTGGATCTCCGTTTAGACCTGTGACTGCATGACGTCCCTGGGTCCAACCAGCTATAATTGATACCTGAATTACTTTGGGGAGGTATATTAGCGGCTGGGCATAATGCGTACCACTCCATTCCTTAATATGCCAAGGTCACGACATATATGAACTCTACTTCATCAGCCCAATTGATCGCTAAGTCTAAAGAGAAACTTTGTTAATTTTTTAACACTATTATTTCAGACCGCATTTGTCATATCAAATCGATTTGTCAAGAAATATTTGAAAAATGCCTGCTATAAAGGGCAGGTCTTTTCATTCTAAATTAACTGAATAGGTTATAGAATTTAGCAGTATGGGCATTTATTTATCTTAATGTTGCGTAATTATAATCTACAATACATTTAGAAATTGATTATTGTGAGGTTCAGTGTTGGGCATTTTTTTCTATTAATGTTTGTTATTTATCATCTACAATACATTTAGAAATTGATTAATGTGAGGTTTATCATTACGTCAATTATTTTTTTTTATAGAAGACTCATGAACACAATTAGAAATAATATTCTATACCTATCCCAAAACAGTTTTAACAGTTCGAAAACAAACAATTCTCGGTTAATCCACATTTGTATAGATTTTTTTTAACCAATCGATTCGGGACTACGATTTGGCTGCATCCACGTCCCACAACTCACCATAAATACTCAGCTGTGCCGCGGCAGTGACCTCCCCTTGAGGCGTGATGGCAATACATCTGGGAAAATAAAAATAAAAATCGTTATAAAAATAGAATTCAAATATTCCGAAACATTCTATTATTTGCAGCTTCGAGTTTAGAAGAAAGAAAAAAAAAACAACCTTGAAGCAAAGTTTGTTTGAAGAAATATAAGTCAAGGCTAATATATTTTAAATCTGTTTTTGAAAAAAATAGTAGAGTTTATTGTGTCGGTCTGTTATTTTTTAAGAAGTACTAGCGTGTGTACTACATGATTTAAAAACAAAAACAACATTCTCCCATGACGTGTAGTATAGAAGATAAAATGTTTTTACTTTTGTATGAAAAGATGAAAGAGAAAACAGTATTTGATAAATAAACCAAAATAATATGTGCATATTGTCTGAAATTACCGTTACTGTTTTTTTTCAAGATATTCAAGCAAATAATTGAGTTATTCTTTACTGGTTAAAGGGTTCTATCTCATACTATTATATATATATATATATATATATATATATATATATATATATATATATATATATATATACATATATATATATATACATATATATATATATATATATATATATATATATATATATATATATATATATATATATATATATATATATTTATATATATATATATATATATATATATATATATATATATAACACTATCAGCCCCTCCACTAACCCACCTGTTATTTTTATGTTAATCTTCTTTCCAATAGTGAAACCAACAATGGAGCTTTGTTTACGTTTTTTCTCCAGATAATAATTTCCAAAATACCTAACAAAGGGTTGACTGTCACTTTCATTATGAATGTTTCTCTCCCTTTGTGTCGACTTTTCATTTTTGACTAGGATTAAGTTACATGTTTAAGAAGAACAGCATTGTTCTCTACCCCCCTACCCACCCCCACAATCAGTGTAGGACAGCTGAGGAAGCAAGACACTAAGACAGGTAACAAAAGAAACTAATCTTTAATCTTCATGACATTTCAGTTTCTTTGATACCTGATTTCAAATACGTATTCTGTTTGTGGCTTAATTTTTGTTATCCTTTTTTTGATAACCTTGAAACTATTATATATATATATATATATATATATATATATATATATATACGGCATTCATATTCTATACATTATCATCAGTACATCTACATTCTATACATTACCATTCACTACTCTCTCTATATATATTATTTATTTATTCTAGAGAGCATTACCACGTATAGTCTCAACACTACAATACCATAGCTTTAAGCTAAACACTAAATGGCTAGCCATGGTGTCAAATATCGAAACACTGACATTTTTTTAAAGCATACAATACACACCATCTAATGACACCTTTCTTAAGCATACAAGCCATTTTGAGACACCGTCTTTAAGCATAAACACCATCTAACTGCATCTTCTTTAAGCATACACACCATCTAATGACACCTTTTTAAAGCATCTAATAAAACCTTTTATCATAGACACCATCAACGTTTCCCGAACACCGATGGTGTTTTTATTTACCTGAACTCTCCTTCATCGGAGCACGTGACGTTGGTGATGAGCAGATTGAACTCAACATGGCTCTGTTGTATGGTGATCATAGGGACCATTCGCGCTTTCAGCTGGGCTGGTAAATCTTTGCCCCATTCCGGAATCTGTGAACGGTTCCAAAAATCGTTGCGTTGATGTATTTAGCAAAAAAAAATAAAAAAAAAAAATAAATAAATAAAAAAAACTTTTTGTTATTATTATTTAACAAGCGTTTTTAATAAAAACAACTTTGTTGCAATAGGGCTGGTAAGTAGGTCACCAACCAGTTCTATTGCTCATGCAGGTTTTATCGAAATGTAGAACTAGTTGGTGACCTACTTACCAGCCCTATTGTATTGACCTACAAGCTATAGCTACAGACAATAATAATTATTCTTTGGTAGACTGTCTGATTTCAAACAAAAAGAAAGATAGAAAAGTATAAGACCACACAGATTCGATTACTAATAAAGTTTTGGAATTTAGTTTTTATTATAAAGAACAAACTTCCGTTGAGAATTACTGAATCGGATTTTATTTTTCTTTTAAAGTGATTGAATATGTTGCATTAAGCCTCGACAAAAATGCATAATTATTTTGTTGTGTTTAGTCTTAGTTGTTTTTTTTTTTGTGTGTGCGTGTGTTAAACCAACCATAATCCTTTTAATCTGCATCAGGATATTTTATTCGAAGAGTTTCTCGAATAATTTAAAAATACAGTTTTTGGAATGTAGCGTGCCAGTATAAAAAGGAATAATTCTAATCCGTTAATCTCAAACCGGCGTTAAGAGCGATTGAAAATTTTGTGTATTTTAAAACCATAGTGGATTTAGTGGATTCAGTGGATACTAGTTCTTTCAGTGGATTACATAAACACGATTTTCTTGTTTTCATTTATTTGGATTGTATCCATGAGCGTAGCTAGGGTTTAGGTCTAAGGCGGTTTCATTATATTTTATTCAGTGGTGTTATTGTGTTTTTGTTTTGCGTTGTTTTAAAGGGATTTTATACATGGGTGTGTTTAAGATTTAGTACTAAATTATCCTCTGTATGATTGTTTTGAAAGACGTGCGTAGTCTTTAGTACTAAGCTTTCTTTTGTTTTCATTTTTCTCATTCCCTTGATTCGTGAAATTGGCTTTTGCTATTTGCCACTACAAACCCACTGTGCTATTGAACACAACCCAACTTTTGTAAAAATGACAAATACCAGCAAATGTATGTATGACCATTGCTCCTCCTTTCATATGACCCCTCCCTCTATTCTTATGACTACCACCCACCCCCATTATCTATGACCTTCATCCACCACCTTTATCAATGACCTTCACCCACCAGCTGCGCCCCTGACCACCACCCTCCCCCTGTACCTATGATCTTCCCACTCCCTACTCCCCGCCCTATGACCACCCCCACCCCAGTTTACTTACGCATGGGCAGGTCCACCTTTGAAATGACCACCTCCCACCCCCCCCCCACTTGCGCCAACGACCGACCACCCTCTGTGCCATCCTCTATTGTGCATAAGACCACCTCCCACCTCCTCTGTGTACTCACCTTATCATGCAAGTGCAGATTCACCAACGAAATGACCACTTCCCCCCATGACCCCCCCCCTCTTCGTCCATAACATTCCCCCTTCTGTGCCTATGTCCATCTCGTGCTTAAGACACCCTTTGTGTATCACCTTATAACACAAAGGCAGGTCCACCAACGAAATGACCATCACCCACCCCCTGCGCCCATAACCCTCCCCCCGTCTACGCCCATTTCCACCACCCTCTCTGCCTATGTATCCACACCCCGAGCCTATGACCACCCCCCCCCAGTGTACTCACCTTATCATGCAAGGGCAGGTCCACCAACGAAATGACCACCTCCCTCCATACCGACCCCTCCCCAATCCCCCATGACGATCGCCTCTCTGCGCCTATGTCTACCCCCCACCCCCCTGCGCCCATTACGCCCCCCCCCCATGTAGGCTACTCACCTTATCACGCACGGGCAAGTCGACCAAAGAGATCACGGCGCCGTGATCACCAATGCGCTTCCACGAGATCACGTACCACCCCCTTCCGTGCAGCCCTGTCTGCAGATGGCACTTTAACGTGACGCTCTTGTCCACGTGACCGCTGACGTCATAAGCCGTTAATGGTGCTGAAATATTTTTAAAAAATGAACAGATATGAATATAGTTTTTGTTATGAATTGAACGTTAAAAAATATTATATATGTAAAAATAATTCGAAGATGTTAATTACACGCAAAAACATAGTTACATTAGCGTTGATTCTGTGTTAATGAAAATTAACTGTTAATTAAACAAATGTAGAGATTTGTGTATAGTAAAGACGGAGCAGCAGAGTAAAGCTGTCAAGACTGTATCGTTTAAGTCGCAATGCAACAAATGATCAGCACATATTTCCTACCAAAAGACACATTGACTTGTTCTTTGGCTCAGGTATTGTCATGTGGCATTATTCCAGGCATGTCGAGAATTGGAACCGTTGGGAATAGTGGTGGGGGTGCAATGACGGCGAGATGGGACTTTAAATCAGTAGCGTAGCGAGGGAGGGGGGGGGGGGGGCGGGGGGACATATGTCCCCGGGCGCCGACCTTAGGGGGCGCCAAAATGGGTTGGAAAAGTAAATAAAAAGGTTGAGGGGGGTGCAAATCGAAAGTTTGAGGGGGGGGGGTGCAAATAAAAATCTCAAGGGGGGGGGAGGGGTGCAAATCGAAAGTTTGAGGGGGGGTGCAAATGGAAATCTCGAGGGGGGGGGGGTGCAAATCGAAAAGTTTGTCTCCGGGCGCCGGGAAGGGTCGCTACGCCTCTGCTTTAAATTTACCAGTGGAGGGGGGTATGAAACTTCATAAGAATAGGGCAAAGGTTTAAGTATAGAGGATGTAGACATGTTCGAGGTATTGGGAAGGGGGGGGAGGGGGATTTTAGAGGTGGTCGGTGTTTTTAAGGCGAGATGCATAAAAGAAACACAAGTAGAGTACGTGTTTCTTTAGTGTGTTTTTTAAATTGGGGTTGGGGAAGGGAGGGGGGTGCTCTGCTAAAAATGCAAAAATACTGTCCATCTCTGATGGGTACCTAACTCATGTTAGGGAAAGTAAATGCGGCTGGGCAAAGTGCTGACCACGTCTTCCCTTTACATTCTGAGGTCAAGAAACATGAACTACTTCATCTGCCAAATGGATCGCTAGGTCTTAAGAGAATTATTTACTATACCCTACCAATGAACTTATTACTATTTAAGTCAGCCAATGGTTACCAAACAACTTATAAAAAGAAAAGTTCGACCTTGTATGTTAATGTTATATTCTTAAAAAAACGATTCTAGAACAAAACGAGATTTCTCGTTATGTAATCAAACAAGACACAGAAGAATAATTCAAACACTCGCACAAGTCAAATTTTCAATTAAATATTTAATTTGTCCAGCGTTTTCATTAAACCCGAGCCAATCTGCGCTTTACAAGATAAGGAACTTATTTTCGTCTTAAAGTTATTTCCCTTGCTTCGATAAACATTAATTATCTCCCTTAACCCAGGACCGATAATTGAAGCAAAACTATCTGGTCTGAGATCGGACCCGTGCATCCTAGTTTTGTTCCGGCCCACAGAGGGGTGTGGGGGGGGGGGGGGGGTGGGGAATTCAATACATCAATCAAGTTATCAGTAATCACGAAATAAGACTTAGCGCTAATGTCATTTTCCACAGTGTGGCGTTTATGAAATTTTGTAATTACCGCCGCCAACCAATTTACCGGGAAAATCCGATTACTCTCCCCTGATCAGTGTCGCCGGATGACACGTCGGTCAAAATGAAAGTAGGAATTTTTGTCAGTGTCTGGTGAGAGTGGTAAAAATGTAAAAAAAGGGGGGGGGGAGCCAACCTAATCCCGTGAAGGTGAGGTACTGGTGAGATATATCTCTCTACCGTCATGTTTTGCTAAGTAATTTTTTTTTTCTTTCTCAGCCGGTCCTTGATCAGACTGATGGGGAGGTCTCAGGTCCCGGTATAGGTGTGACGGTGATAGGTCTAATTCTACCTGCATAAGGTCGTCGAATATTCCAAAGTCTCTCTCACTTTTCTCTCTCTCTCTCTCTCTCTCTCACCCACAACCTCACACACATCCACACCCCACACACACAGACAAATACACAGGCACACCCACCCACCCACAGATATATATATATATATATATATATATATATATATATATATATATATATATATATATATATATATATATATATATATATATATTTATTTATATATATATATATATATATATATATATATATATATATATATATATATATATATATAAATATATATTTATACATATATATATATGTATATATATATATATATATATATATATGTGTGTGTGTGTGTGTGTGTGTGTGTCTATGTGTGAGAGTGTTTAGATATAAGGCAGAATAGGTTTAAAACATAGTTTAAAGTATATTACATAAGATAAAAAACAAGGCATCCAATGTTTAAAAACAGGAATCACATTCTCATCATCGGATTTAGATATATGTTGCTCTATACTATACCAAATCATCAGTTGATAGAAACTTGCTTAAAACTAATCCTTACCAAAAAATCTTTTACACTTCATTTTATTTAATTTTACATTAGTCCTAGCATGCTATAAGCCTTATAAAACCACTCCCCTTGGAGCGCATTTTTTCAGAAAAATATTTTTATTAACACAAAACAAAAACACGACTTTTCATGTATCAACATTTTTTTTATCTGTGGCTTTGGATTTGTAAGATGTATTCAGACGAATGTATCAAGCAAATGCACATTCAGCACAAAAAAATAAAATACTTCTTCTCTATGTTAAGTATGATAAAGTGAAACGTCTGCATTTTTCTAATTGCCCGTCGCTCATGAAATAAATGTTAAACACCATAACGCAACTTGCAACCTACATACAAAGTTTAATGGCAGCCTTGCCTATATAACGGAAAAGATATGCATTAATTCAACCTGTCTATACAAAAAATAAAAACCAAACTGCAGATCTAAACATATCAGAAATTTTTTTTTTAAAAAAAAGTAAACTTTGTTGTATGCAAGCCGATACAGCTATTAATAATTCTTTTCAATCTTTGACCCAAAAGCCCTTTCGGCTATTAGATTATATAGATCGAAATAACTTTCATGTTTTTATTTTATTTCTTTTAACCAGCGAATGTTCTACAAATCGATGAAGAGTTTACTGGCCTAGATCAACACATAGATAGGGAATATTTTGTTTAACCTACCGAAGTTAACATAGATTTGACAGAGAGTCAACTAATCAAACCAAATTTAGGACGATTAAAACAATTGTTGCTCCGCGCAGCTGAAGCTGAGAAACATTTTTGGTTTTGAAACTTTGGAAGTAACACAACTCTTTTGTTGTTGCCATACTAAAGTAGTTAACCACCGAAATCGCTGGTGATAGTAACGGGAACCCCCCCCCCCCACACACACACACACACCTCCCCCGCCCCCGTCCCCCAATCTATTAATTTTTAACAGCTATAATACAAAAAAACGGGTGATATTGCAATATTAGCTGAGGAACAAGTGTAGTGTTAATTAATTCTAATACCAAAACCGCAAATAACATTGCTCCGATAGTTTAGGATGAAATGTAACTTTAATCTGTTTTAATGATCCATGGGGCTAGTAAAGTCGAGTTCATATCATCCTTGACCTTGTAATTTGAAGAAATAGTGTGTTCAGCACTATGGCCATATGGTTGTTACTGTCCCTAACGTGAGTTAGGTACCCATCAGAGCTTGGTGATGTTCTTCTGACAGGGAACTCAATACTTTCGTTTAAGCACTTTAGCGCTCTACCTCTAGGCCACTCAGTTTCAAATCGCAACATAAATAATTTACAAACCATACCTAACCCTAAGCCAACTCTTGTCCTTTCAAGGCCGAAACTCAATGCTACTTACAACCACCCCCCCCCCCCCGATGGGGGTGCAGGGGGGTACAAATGTCCCCGGGCGCCGACCTTAGGGGGCGCCAAAATGGGTTGTAAAAACAAATTAAAATGTTTTAGCTGCATTTTTGGATTATAAATAGTTTTAGGGGGAGGGTGCAAATCGAAAGTTTGAGGGGGGGGGGGGGTGCAAATTGAAATTTTGCTCCCAGGGGTGCGCCAAATTGAAAGTTTGTCCAAGGGCGCCGGGAAGGGTCGCTACGCCTCTGCCACCTCCCCCCCCCCCCTTCAAACGAACGAAGTTTAAAAAGTATAAGTACACATATCAACAATTCCTGCTTTGTATATGCATGTGTGTAACTAATCAATAAAATATCAACTTTGAATCCTACCATATAATTCTTTTTGTAATAGAAACAAGTGCTTAATCAGTTCAACAACAAAAAAAATCACAAAAAACCAACGCCAATGTTTTGAAGAAATTGTTCAAGTATCGATTGATTTGAATCTCACTGTAGCATTGCTCTAGAGTAATGCCCCATCAAATGGAATAGTGAGCTAGGGTTCAGTGCGGCGGATTTCAATTTTGTCGGATGCGCGGATTTTAATTTTCTAAAGTGGAACCGCTCCTGTGGTTTGGTACAAGAAATTTTATTTTTTTTGTACACAGACAAATATTTTTGTTCGATAAATGCTTTTTTTTTTTGACAATAAACAAATATTTGTTGAAATTATTATAAAAACGTGCATGAATATCGAAATAAAAATGTATTTAAAGTTACCAAAAGAGTAAGTTTTGTTTATTTCAAGGTAAAGTGACCAAAAATTCAAAGATAGTTTAAGGTTTGATATTCAATAGACTTGTTGAAGTAGAGTGTGTCTCTTTCGTTGACATCGGCTTGTAAATTGAGTGTACGGTCAACTCAACCCTATTCAGTCTCCAGGTACTCCTCTTAGCTGAGTGAACTCAGTGACCTACTACGAGAGTCAAGACTTCCGGGTTAGCTATCGTTGGTCTCAGTACGGGTCACGCCCTCCCATTAGCTTTGTACTTATGTGTATTGCTTTTATCGTGTTGTTGTATCATGTCTGTCATACGACATCGACGCCAACAGGCTCACCAAGTATGTTGTGACAAGTGTAAACAAAACAACATAAGAAAGTATGAAATGAAGTAGGGACATATTATCT